AAGAGGAACCTCACTTAAGTGAAATAGGATCCTGCTTCCTTCAGCATGTATGTTACTGATGCTTCTTTACTAATAACATCTGGTTAAGTAATAATTTTGAAATGAGACTCCACTAAAAATAGGAGTCTTTTTTCTTTATTTTGGTTTGCTGCTGTAATTGTTTGCTTGATTAATTTTCCATAGAATAGAGATGTCACTTGTAAAATTAGGTTGGGTGGTTTCTCAATACCCCAAGGCAATTTTTTCAATATCTTTTTGTTCAGTTTGGGATTATATGTGGAGTAATAGTATCCATTAAGTGTCTGTTATGTTTCAAGCACTGTTTTCCGAGGTTTCTCATTGGCTCCTCTACATTCATTAGGTTGATATGATTGTCTTCCCCCATTTTACAGATGAGGAAATCAAGGCCCAGAGAGTAAGTGACCCAAGGTCACACATTACTAAGTAATTGGCATGTGACATTGTGATTGTTTCAAAACATTCCACTAACAGTGACATGAGTTTATCATTATTTACCAGTGATTGACTATTACTATTTTATATACTAAGATTTCAGGAAAAAGACAATTTTATTTCCAGCCAAAATAGTCAGGGAATAATCATAGTAATAATGTTAGTGACAGCAACACCATTTTTCAGTTCTTGGGTTCTGGGCCTGAGAGCTTTTGAGCTGTTCCCTCAGGGTGGGTAGACCTTAAATCTCTGATCATCATGTTTTGGTGTGAAGATGGGCCCTATAGGTACCTGGAGCATATCTAGGGCATTATAATAGATCTGTGAGGTCAGAGTAGCAGGTCCTTGTAGAGGAGAAATAAGAGAGGCTTCAGAGGTGAGGGAATTAACAGGAGAGCAGGCTGGTGAGTGTCCTGAGGGCTAGAGAGAATTGCTGCTGCCACCAGGGAGGGTACTGGTGAGGGACTGGGAGATGGGAAAAGAGATTTATCAGAAGGGGTATTTTTGAGGAAAGTGTGTGACAAGTGGTTATAGGTGACAAAGAAAAAAACAATAATCAGAACTGCCTTACAGGGTTTTGAGTCTCAAAAATTAACAAGAAGCTTAGGAAAATCTGTTTTCTAGGGAAATAGGGGATTAGTTTGACATTCTGTGTTTGAGCACACTCAAGTCTCCACCATCCAGCAGGGCAGGGCCAGGCATGGGAAGGAAGGAAAGGCAGCTCTGGTGGGGGCTGAACACGTGTGAGTATACTGCCCAGTGGCTGAGGGTCAGGGAAAGGCAACATTCAGGGATGTGGAGCAATGCCCAGGGACAGGGCCTTGAATGCAGATACCCTGTTGACCCAAAAGGGTGGAGGAAGGGAGGGAGCCCACAATACAGAGAGGGAGAAAGGGAAGAATGCAACTCTGAAATCCAGAAAGGTAGATGGTCTTGATGGTCTTTCTTGAGATAGGAGAGTGACATGTGTGAAAATCAGGCCTGGGAGAAGTAGGCAGAATTGTGGGGAGGAGGTGAAGGAGGCATGGAGTCAAAGAGTTTATCAGTGAGCCAGGCACCAGGAAGCATACCTATAATCCTCGCAACTCCAGAGGCTGAAATAGGAGGTCTCAAGATCAAGACTAGCTTGAACAATTTGGCGAGAACCTGTCTCAAAATTTAAAAAGACTTGGGGGAGTTATAGGTATAGCTCAGCAGTAAAGCATTCATGGGTTCAATCCCCAGTACCCCTCAAAAATAAAAAGATCTTATCAGAGAAGTAAAGACGAGCTGGCTAGAGAGAATCGGGTTTCCGGCAACACTTTTTTCTCTGCCACTTCATCTAATCCAAGCTGGGTGAAGAGGGAATGGCAGAGGTCCTGCTCCTCCATCTTTCCATGTCAGAAGCCAGAGCCTTTGCCAGTGCCCATTGCTGTTGCCCAGGTGTGGAAGCCACTACACAATGGCGTGGGTCACCTTGTGTCTAATGACCTGTCCTTGCTGCAGTGATCCTTCCTCCTTTTCAGGAGTGTCCCCTTAGATGACCCAGAGTCACCCATAACCTGATAAGGCTGCTTTCCCCCTCCAGCAAGAGGGCTTTGCCATCTATTCCGAGTATTGCAACAACCATCCAGGAGCCTGCGTGGAGCTCTCCAACCTCATGAAGCAGGGCAAGTACAGGCACTTCTTCGAAGCTTGCCGCCTGCTCCAGCAGATGATTGACATCGCCTTGGATGGGTTCCTCCTCACGCCAGTGCAGAAGATCTGCAAATACCCTCTGCAGCTGGCAGAGCTGCTCAAGTACACCACGCAGGAGCACAGGTGAGGGACCTGCCATAGGACCTTCAGGGCGGATGGGCAGAGATGGCATTGCCCTGAACCTGTGCCTACCCAGTGTTTCTGCAGTGGCTGGGACAGATGGATATAAATGGCAGTCTTTAGAGCTGTTGGTTTTTAGGGTAAGGGTTAGTTATGTTTATGTCTGTCAACTATTGAAAATTCTAAAGAAAAAAAAAAAAAAGAAGACGACGACTTATAGGATATTTGAAGAGGCTCCAGAATAGGCATTTTTAGAGATATAAAAACATAAGGGTAATTCTTAAACGATGTCATGAGTGTGTGCAGGTTTTTACTATATTGTTATTTCTTACCATTTAGAAATACTGGATGAATATTTTTTCATAGTAGTTAATGAATTCATTGGTTAAGTAGACAGGTGTGACTATAGTGGTCGCCCTGTATCTGAGAGGGAGACATTCCAGAAACCTCTATGGATACCTAAAACCACAGATACTACTGAACCCTACATAGATGCATAGACTATGTTCTTTCCTGTATCTACATATCTGAAAAAGTTTCATATATAAATGAGGCACAGTAGGAGATTAACACCAACAATAACAAAACAGTTATAACAAAAATACTATAATAAAAGTTCCCTAAAGCTTACGAATTATTTCTGGATTTTTCCATTTAATGTTTTCAGAGTAAGGTTGACCATGGGGAACTGAAACCACTGAAAACAACTAGATAAGGAAGGACTGATTAACCTGGATAAGGAGGATCACTGTACCAACCTGCAGAGTATAGAGTGTGAATCATTCTTTTGCCTTCTCTGCCTCTGAACTCTTGTGGAGAGACCAGGCTTAAAAAGGGACGCTTTTATAATAAATGGATTGGAAGGTGAAGAGTAAGAGATGGCCACTGAACACTAGGCCTAGGTACCAGACCTAGTTTAAAGAATTAGAACCAAAGTGTGTGTGTGTGTGTGTGTGTGTGTGTGTGTGTAAGCGCACGTATCTTTCTGTCTCCAGTGGAAAAGTCAGAAAAGTTCGGTAGGAAACACAAACGTGGATGTCAAGAGAGAGCCACTAATTTGTGGAAGTGTTTTTTAAAAGAATGAACAGGCATCATGATAAGGAACTAGAGAAAATAGATAATTCAGAAGCAAAGCCTCCTTGAAAAACATTTACAGGCAGCTTACTGCATTCCAAGGTAGAGAAGTTGTAGTCCAAGTTCACACTACTCTTCAACAGTGTCTTGTCTTTTTCTTTTCCTCTTTTGTACTAGGGATTGAACCCAGGGCACTTTACACTGAGCTATGTCCCAGATGTTTTATTTTTTATTATGAGACAGTATCTTGCTTAAGTTGCTTAGAGCCTCAAAATAATTTATAAATATATATGTGAACTGTTCTGTACACACACACACACAAACACACACACACACATACGTGTATATATATATATATATATGAAACAGATTAACAAAATATATGAAATAAAATGGCAAAAAGCCCATTTCTTTGTCTTAAGTAAAACAGAGCAAAAATTCTAAAGAAAAAGAGAAGCCTTATATTCTACTTTTTTTTTTCTAGGATTGTACCAAAAAATTTACTTCGCACCCTTTTTCTAAAGACCTCTTTGGGGCATTCACTCCTGTTATTTTGACAGCCCCCATGTATCATTTTTGTTCCTCTTTTCTGCTCTGCTTCTGTGGAAATAGTCCTGTGTAAAGACAGTGAGATCTGCTTTATGGCAAATGTTGGTATTTCCAAAAAAAAAAAAAATCTAAAACTGACATATCATAGCAATACAGTCACATAATGTTTATAGCAGCACAATTCACAATAGCTAAATTATGGAATCGACCCACAGACTTATCAGTAAATGAATGGAGTTTAGCTGTGTTCAGTAGATAGACAGAAGCATCTGCTTTCAAGGCTTTTCTCCCTGGCTGTGCAGGAGGATTCTAATTCAGTCCATTTGAGTTAACCCTGTGGCTGTGTCTGTCCTGCTAGTCACCATAAGAGACTGAAAAGTTCAGCCGTCATCTGGATGGTTGGTTTACATATCCCCAGATCATCAACGCTAAGCTAAACCTGACTGTGACACTTTCAGACACCGCTGTGTTGCATCCTGTGTAGATTAGAACTGCGGTTTCAGTGTTTTCAGTACTTATGGTTTTAGAGGCATGGAGAAGAGGGCTAGAATAGGGGGTTATTTTAGTTTGACTGCAGCATCCAGAAAACACTTTTTAGTGTTTTCTAAGTGAAGACCTACTGGTGGTGCAAAGGTTCTGTGAGCACAGACACAATTCCTCACTTAAGACTGTGGCTTGTATCCTCTCATGGCCCTTCCTGAACAGGGGAAAGAGAAGACTTGGTGCAACAGTACTCTTGAAATGGTTAGAGTGATTTTTAAAGTACTTTGTATAGCAGAACTGGCTATGTCAAAATCAAAGCAATAATGAAGATCATTCTTTCTGTATTATCAAAAATAACCCCTAGTCACCATGACCAAAACTTAGTTTTCTTGTGGCATTTACTTTCATTCATTGTGATTTCTGGGAAGTGAATGAAAACATTCTTATTCCAAAGAATTCTGAATTGCATTCCGTCAGCTTCCTTAACCTATGCAAACTGTAGTCTATTCATGGGGAAACAAGGAGAAGGGAACAATGGCTATTATTTAAATGCCACTTTGTCTAGACTATTAGTGTACAAATCAGGGATCCAGAGCATTATTTTGTCAGTCCTCATTTGTGAGTTGTGTGTTATGTGATTGAAATTAACTTCCCATTTTGCAGTGATTACAACAATATAAAGGCAGCCTATGAGGCCATGAAGAATGTGGCCTGTTTGATCAATGAGCGTAAACGCAAGCTGGAGAGCGTTGACAAGATTGCTCGCTGGCAGGTGTCCATTGTGGGCTGGGAGGTAAGTGGACTGTCACACACACACACACACACACACACACACACAATGCCCCTCCACCCTTTCCTGCACCTTTGACCTGGTGATGATATACTTGAACATCCTGTGATTGACACTTTGTTTTTGGCTTTAATGATATACATTACTATTAATGGTCCATGTATTTTGAGGCATGTTGATTCCTAAGTTGAGAAGGAAATTATTACCTACCCCATATGCCACTATGGGCATTATATAATACAGTACAAATGTACTATCTGTTTTAGCCAATAATAATCGTCTAAAAAATATGCCTGCTGTTTTTATTTATACATACCTATGTTAAATACATGTATACTTGCAAATAGAGACAGTAGTTAGAGCCTGTATTTTATTTACCTCATATCTGACACTGTTCTAAGCCAGTTACATCTATGAACTCATTTAATCCTCTTAGCAGTCCTATAGAGTAGATAATGTTATTACACCCAATTAGCAGAGGAGGAAATGGAGCACAGAAGGGTTAAATGTCTTGCCTGCGGACACAGACAGTAGAATTCAAACCAAGCAGGCAACCTGGCTGCAGAGTCTTTGCTGATAACCACTGTGCCATATTGCTGCTCCTACGAATAAGCCAGCCACACTCAGATTGTTTTTAGACCAAGAAGAATTCTTCCTACATCCATTCATTGGTCAAAAGAACTTATTCTCCCAGAGGATTGAGAGTTTGGAGTGAGGAGTTAGAAGTTTAATGGAAGTAGACTGTAACGGTGAAAGTGGGAGAGAAATACTTACATTTCAAAATCTTTTTTAGATTTTTTGAAGCTTGGACAGGCCTCAGACTCCCTTATTTTGTATGTGAAGAATCTAGGGCACAGAGTTGCTTCAGGCAAGTAAATAGAAGAACTATTTTGGAGTTAAGCTCTTTTGCCTCCAAAAAATATTATGTATGACTGGGATTAAAGGAGAGTAAAATCCTATAAAACAAAGGCCAGTGTCATACCAAATATTATAAAGTAACATTGGATTAGATCCAACCTAAATATTGTGGAAGTTTTTTTCTTTTTCATTTTGGACTGACATTTAGGGAATAATTTAGTGTCAGAAGTTTACTAATTTATCAGTAGCAATTTGCTGCCTGACCTTTGTTTCCAAGACCCTAGACAAGTCAGGGAGCTGTGATGTTTCTGACTCAAAAGCCTACAGGAGTCTGTGGCACCACACTGTGTCCCTGTACTGGAAAAACCTCCTTGATGCTTCCTTATTCTTGAAGGATCAGTCTTATTCAGCTATCACTTGAGATCTGAAGCTATCACTTCTGGGGTCCTGCCTGCCTATCTGTGCAGACAGGCAGTGGGTGGTCTCTGTATTCACGTCTCTGGAAAATCCAAGAGAGATTATAGGTCTGTGTCTCAAACACTCAAAGGAATCAGAATTAGAAGATCTGAAAGTGTGTTTTCATCCTTCCAGGGATTGGATATTCTAGACCGAAGCTCAGAATTGATTCATTCGGGGGAATTGACCAAAATCACTAAGCAGGGCAAGAGCCAGCAGCGGACCTTCTTCCTGTTTGACCATCAGTTGGTGTCCTGCAAGAAGGACCTGCTACGCAGGGACATGCTGTACTACAAGGGTCGCATGGACATGGACGAGATGGAGCTTGTGGATGTGGAGGATGGGCGGGACAAGGACTGGAACCTCAACGTGAGAAACGCCTTCAAGCTGGTCAGTAGGACCACAGACGAGGTTCACCTGTTCTGTGCCAAAAAACAGGAAGACAAGGCAAAGTGGCTGCAGGCCTGTGCGGATGAGAGGCGTCGGGTGCAGGAGGACCAGGAGATGGGTAAGCAGCCCTGGGCACCCAGGGCTTATCAGCCTCTGCTTTCCAGCCTCATTTTCTGCCTCTCATGCTTGCTGTGTTCCCAGCCCACTCCCTCAGAGCTAAATCCCACCATTGGGGAAAAAAGAAAGGATTTGTAAATTCTAAATACTTCTGAACTTGCTCCCAAGACCTAAGATGACAGAGGTGGTTCCTACAGACAGTATTTATTAGATATTTATGTTTTTGGTAGTAGGGGTTGAATTCAGGTGTACTTATCACTAAGCTACATCCCCAGCCCTTTTTATCTTGAGACAGGCCTCAGTAAGTTACCTAGGCTGACCTTGAACTTGCAGTCCTGCTTCAATCTCCTGAGTAGCTGGGATTATAGATGTATGTCACTATCTCTGGCTACTCAGAGCAATTTGAGAAGTGAAAGCAGAGCCCAGATGATGTCCAATCAAAAGAAGTACCTGCCTCCAGGGGGAAGGCTTTCTGCTTCCTGCTCCCTGCTAGAGAAGACGGGGCCAGCACCAACTGCTGCTCAGTCTTCCACCTCTCTCTGAATCTCCTCAGCTTTTCTAGTGTTGCTTATTTTCATCCAGTTCACCTAGTACACAGACACTAGACACCTTTGTTCCTTTGCTGCAGAACTTGAGCATAAAGGACACTCAGGGCACACATGCACATAGCTGGAGTAGAGTCCAGTACCCAGTCCTCCAACAGCACTTTTGTTCAGGTAGAATCATGGCCTTACAGAACTCCCTCTGCACACAGGGAGCAAACCCTGGGCCCCTTGGCTGCACTGTCTCCTCCTAGGGCCTTGTGCAGTAGAGTGGTGAGGGCAACCACATATGAACACTTGCCCAAGAATGTCTGGCTTTACACAGAGTCTCTGTGGTTATTCATAGCAACCCATTTTATTCTTGGTGATGTCTGGCTTTGGAGGTAATTAAGAAGCCACCCTAGGACAGTCTTTCTACCCTTGATTTTGCTTCAGATTGTGGTGCAGGTGTTGCTCTGAAACATCATGTTGAATATAGATCATATTTGTTTCTTAATACAGGAATGGAAATTTCAGAAAATCAAAAGAAACTAGCCATGTTAAATGCTCAGAAGGCAGGACAAGGAAAGTCAAAAGGTAAGGCTTGAAGAAAGGTTGATCTCCTGAATGTGCATTAGTATCAGAATGAGAGAAGAGGGGGCAGTTATTAACTTCTGTCAAAGGGACAGACCCAAGTAATGGTCAATTGTAGATGGTCTGTATTTGGTTTATGTTGTTTAGGTTTTGATTTTTTGTTTTGCTTTGTTGTTGTTGTTTAAAAATCTGGGGGTACTTTACCAGTGAGCACTTCTCTGCACCCCCTCCCCTTTGATACTAGGGATTGAACTCAGGGGCACTCTACCACTGAGCCACATCCCCAGCCTTATTTTGTATTTTATTTAGAGACAGGGTCTCATTGAGTTGCTTAGTGCCTCACTTTTGCTGAAGTTGGCTTTGAACTCATGATCCTCCTGCCTCAGCCTCCTGAGCTACTGGTATTATAGGTGTATGCCACTGCGCCCAGCATTTTAAAAATTTCTATTTGTTCTTTTTAATTACATATGACAGTAGAAACTATTTTGATAAATTTATACAAACATGGAATATAATCTTATTCTAATTAGGATCCCAGTTTTATAGATATACATGATGTTGAGATTCACTGTGGTACTATTCATATATGAACATAGGAAAGTTGTGTCCAGTTCATTCTGCTATCTTTCCTATTCTTATCCCCTCTCCCTTCCCTTCATTCCTTTGTCTAATCCAATGAACTTCTAGCCCCCCAACCCCCCATTTTGTGGGATTGTGTATTTCACTTAATATGATAGTCTCTAGTCCCATTCATATACCGGCAAATGTCATATTGTCATATTCTTTATGACTGAGTAATATGGCATATATATATATATATACCAAATTTTCTTTATCCATTCATTTGTTGATGGGCATCTAGGTTGGTTCTATAGCTTAGCGATTGTGAATTGAGCTGCTATAAACATTGATAGTGTTGCATCACTGCAGTATGCTGATTTTAAGTTCTTTGGATATATACCAAGGAGTAGTATAACTGGGTCAAATGGTGGTTCCATTCCAAGTTTTTTGAGGAATCTCCATACTGCTTTTCAGAATAGTTACACCAATCTGCTGTCCCACCAGCAATGTCTGAGTGTACTCTTTTCTCCACATCCTTACCAACATTTATTATTACTTGTATTCTTGATAATTGCCATTCTGATTGGAGAGAGGTGAAATCCCAGTGTAGTTTAATTTGTATTTCTCTAATTGCTAAAGATGTTGTATCCCAAGCCCTTTTAATGTTTTATTTGAGACAGGGTCTCATTAAGTTTCTCAGGGCCTCACTAAGTTACTAAGGCTGGCCTTGAACCTGTGATCTTCCTACCTCATACTCTCAGTGGCTGGGATTACAGGTGTGTACCACCATGCTTGATTTTGAATGTGGGTGCAGCAAATGTCTCTGAGCTGGTACCTGAGGGCTGCAGACCACATAATTCCTTGTACCCTTCAGAGAAAGATGCTGTTACCCACCAGGTCACAAGAGACTCTTTCCTCTCGGGGCATGAGGAAGAAATCTGTACATTCAGAGCATCAGTGAGTTAAACATAAAAGAGTGAGTGGAGTTTATTCAGTGTGAGCCCCTTCATGTAATGCATATTAGAATTGCCTGGCAGGGACATGAGGACATCCACACCAGACCACACACCTGGGTCCTGATGCACACACACAGATTATTCCATAATGCAGATGATACAGGTGATCGAACCCAATATTTTCCATTAATTTTTTAAATTTATTTTTTTAAGTACTGAGGATTTAACCAGGGGTACTTTGCAACTGGGCCATATCCCTAGCCCTTTTTTATTTTTATTTTTTGGTACTGGTCATTGAACTCAAGAGCACTCCACTACTAAGCCACATCCCCAGTCCTGTTTTGTATTTTATTTAGAGATAGGATCTCGCTGAGTTGCTTAGTGCCTCGCCATTGCTGAGGTTGGCTTTAAACTCGGGATCCTCCTCAGATCCTCAACCTCAGCTTCCCCAGCCACTGGGATTACAGGCATGTGCCATTGCGCCCAGCCCTTTTTTTATTTTTTTTGAGGCAGGGTTTCACTAAATTGTTAGGTCCTTGCTAAGTTGCTGATGGCCTCAAATTTGCAACCCCCCTTCCTCAGCCTCTTGAGCTGCTGGGATTATAGATGTGTGCCACCATGCCCAGCCATTCAGTATTTTTCTACTTGAGAAGACAAAAGCAAGATCAGTTAAATCAAGCAATCTGATAGGCCCTCAATTAATTGGCTAAGATTACCAAATGACACTTAGCACTCCCCTACTTTCTCTGTGCACGTTTTTCCCCACTGAGTATCTTCAAGGCAGAAAATCATTTTATTTTTTGTATCTCTCCTAGTGGCAGGTAACTAGAAAATATGACTTGGTTAGAATATATTAGTCTCTCTCTGGATGTTCTATAGGTCATTCTTGTAGCAGCTAGGTTTCTAAAGACTGAAAGGAGCACTGACATTTTTGAGTGAGATTACCATATTGGGCACTTCTCCTGGGTTCTTCTTTCATCCTCCCCATCTCCCTGTAAGATAAGGAAAGCCCTGTGACAAGCTGGGGCAGGAGTGGATTCTGAACCAGTCAGCTTCTGAAGCCCTCTCTTTCATCATGTTATGTTGACTTACATTCTTACCTTTGATCTTTTAGTTAATTTTAATAAACCTTTTAATGACCTCTGTACAGATATAAAATACATACCCTGATGAAGCAGGGTTCAAGTGACAAGGTATCCCTCTTTGAAACATTTTACCTATATTGACTCATTTTATTCTTTATAACAATCTGGTACTGTTGTCCCCTTTTTAGAAATTAGGGAACTATAGAATAGACATTATGATTGCTGTATGTATATAGGTAGGTGACTGTATGACCAATGTGATTCTGCAATCTGTACAGTCAGAAAAATGAGAAATTATACCCCAATTGATTCAAATATATGAATTGCCAACATCATTGTAATGTCATGTGTAGCTGATTAAAAAAAAAAAAAAAAGAAATTAGGGAACTGAGGCACAGATAAGTCAAACACTTGCCTGCAAATAACTGCAGCTAGTCGGTGGCAGAATAGGCTTTTAGCTGAGGCAAGATGAGCTCCAGGTTTTCATTTAAAGCATGTTTTTGCTTTCCAACCCAACTCGTAGCCCAGTTCTAATTCTTTTAACTTACTGCTGTGTGACCATAGGTGATTTACATAGCTTCTCTGGGTTTCAATTCCCGTACCTGGATGATATTAAGAGGATTAAATGAGATAATCTATGCCAGGCTTCCCACGTGGTATTTGAATGTACCATTTCTTAGGATAGCTATTCGGTATTCTTTTGGTTAATGTGAATTAAAAATTAGCTAAGATCTTTGAGTTTTGACACTTTTCTTTTTCCTTTGTGGTTCTCTTAAGTGACTCTCAATCAATGTTCTATCTTCCTCCCCCCCCGGAGTTAGACTATAGCGGATGCCCTGTTGCCCCGCCGCACCAGAACCTGCATCCCCTCCACCAGCGCCACATCACCGTGCCTACCAGCATCCCCCAGCAACAGGTGTTTGCCCTGGCAGAACCCAAGAGAAAGCCTTCCCTCTTCTGGAATACCTTCCATAAACTCGCCCCTTTCAGGAAGTGAGCAGCAGGCCCATACTTCCCCTGAGGGACTGTGAAGAGGAGAACCATGTTCATTTCTTTTGTGTGAAACCCAGGGAAAGTTTCTTGGGCCCAGTGTTGAAAACTTCTTTGGGGGCTCAAGGAAGGAGTTGGACTCACCTTCACTTCAGAGATCCTGCTGCTTTCGTGGAAAGGAGGAGAAGGTCATGACACATAGCTCTGCCCTGCATGAGAAGCCCCAAGGAGCACTCTGAGGTGGCTGGGACTTTGGAACCAGGGTCAAGTTCTACAGGAATGCTGCTGTGGTAGCTCCACAAGCCCCACTAGTGATGGGGACACTCCTGCAGTTCCAGAGCACCGAGAGCTTTTCAGTGCTAAGGAAATGACTCAATTAGAGGATTGAGTCTGCATTTGATTTTGAAGGGAATCAACGATGGGGAGTAGCTATAATGCTGCCTCTCCCTACCATGTGTCTGGTCACACTTAGAAGGTGAGCTTTTACTCCCTTTGGTAGTATTAGGGGATCAACAGCTGCTTGGAGATGACCAGGGTGTTCCCTGGTGTCACCTGTGTCTACACAGTTCCCAAATGTAGGCTTCATCTTGCAAGGTGCCTCTTCAAGCTAGTCGGGAAAAGTACATCCATCTCCTGGCAGCACAGCTTGAGATGTGGGGGCACTGAGGCATCCTCCAGGTCATGCTACTTTCAAGGCCAGCTTGTTTGTTCTTGGCAAGTCGGATCCTCACCTGCCTGTGTGCCTTGTGTAACTCCCTGAGCAGAAATCACATCTCACTCATTCATCCTAACCAAGAAACAGCATTCAAACAACTGTTTGCAATATAAAAGCTCATTTACTTTAATTTTTTAATGACATGAGAATGCACCAGTTGGAAAGCATTCTTAAAAACATCCTGCGCATCTTCTAACAGTTGTCTCCGATGTCTTCATCAGTAAAATTACAACTCGGAAGAACCCATGAAGAAAACACAGGGCAGAACAATCCTGCTTCTCTGGAGTTTAAAGCTGCCTTTGTCCTATAAACTCAAAACGGTGGAGATTCACTGCCTGTGAAAGACACCTTAGCAAAATATCTAGGCTCAAAGATAGGAGTCTCTTTTTAATGGAGGCCACACAGGCTGATGCCTGCAGAAAATAATCTCCTTTTCTTTGCCTATACTGAGAAGTATGATGAAAGTAACTTTTAAATAGTCTGGAGAAGACAGGCTCTGCACTCAGTGTCCAGAGGATATTGTGTCACATAGTTTGTGGATTTCTGTTTGAGAAGCTCATTTTTTTGTATGCTATTCTTGCAAAGTTTCTTCCCCCACAGACCCAAGCTTGAGAATAAACAAGTCTACAAAGTTAAAGAGGAAGGTGTTAACTTTAAGGATGTAGTTCCTCCTTTCTCCCCTGCCTTGCCATATGCAGAGTTATTCATGCATCAAGAAAACATAACTCTGGACCTCTCTGCTGGGCCCTTAGGGCATTTTGTGACTATTCAAATGCCTGCTTACATTGGCTTGCTGAGAGTTTGCCTTGCCCTGTGGTTTACAGCCTCAGGGTTGCTTCTTTCTCACCACAGGTCCCTTGACAGAAGAGGTGCTATGGCTTCGTGCATTGGTTGTGTGTATATGTGTGTGTCCATGAATAACTGTTTCAACCTCAGTTGCATTTATATAACTGACATTTTTACTAACAAAATGTAATGATATATTTTGAAAACTACTTTTCTGTGCTAAATAGAGTTGTTTGTATGTACAGCAATTTTGAACAGGTTTTTGTTGTTTTTAATGTAATATAAGAGAATTGCTTTAAGGTAGTAAAGAATATCATTTACTTATGTTACATTTTCAGTGAGGACTCATTCGAGTAAGGAGTCAGAGGGCTTCCGTTTGCTAGTATTGACCAATTGGCAGTGAGCAAAGGCTTTAAGGTTTTGTGACCAGTCCTAACATGTTTCCCAGCTGAGTCCTATCTTCCAGTTCCCATCTACCTCCATGGACTCCCTAACAGAGAATCCTGAACACCAGGACATGTTTTGATTAAGTCAAAGTCAGTTCAAGACCTGGGATTGTGAGAATCAGTTTTGTAAAGCGTGATGGTCATTTGATAATGTCATTTGATTATATACTTTGCCTGGGTGGATTCTACTTGGATTCTGAGGTGATTTTGAAAACTGCTAACATATATATTTTTTTAAAGGCTAGAACATCCTTTAACTACTTAAATCTGTCTAGCTTGGGTTTTGTTACTAAATACCTGGGTTCTGCAAAGAATAGAAGGCCTCAGGTATTCTTGTTTTCAGTTTGCCATACTTCCTTTTTGATTTACGTCATGTTCTACTTGGAGAGAGAAAAAGAGGCAACAAAAAGCCCCTGCCCGTGTGAATTTTATTGGGAAACCCCACCTCCACCCACTGCCCAATCTCTCTATCGTCTCCACCCCCAACCCTGGGTGGGCCTTTTTATTTTTTGGCCTTATAAATATGTACAATTTTTATGATTTTATGTACCAGTTTAAAAAATAAATTTAAATTTCTTTTTAAAGTCAGGCTTCGATGACTTCACTGGTTGACAACATCTGGATGAATTTCATTAGTGTATCACAATTTGCTAACTCTGTGAAAGACAGTTGAAATGGCCTTGAGCAGCTTTCTCAGTTTTGATATCCCTAAAGGTATGAGAACCCTGTAGTGAATTATAAGCCATTCTAAACAATATTTGAAAAGTCCTAGAGAAGGAACATTCATTGTCTTTGGCCTGCTAACAAGGAAGAGGGTAACAAGCAGTTTGCCAACACTGTCAAGGGATACTGTGTGCATGGTTTGTTTTCAGTAAATCTGAGTTTTGTCTCCGGTTGGTAGATGTGATTTTGTTATTGAAAACATATCACCACCATCAATGCCATATCCAAATACTGTACCCTTTTATACCTAATCTATTGAAGACTAATGCCACATCCTGTGATGTTATTGTATAGCAAAAGTGTTTTATTTCAAAATTTACTTCACAATAGAAATCTCTGCATGCCTAAATTGCTGATATTCCTGAATACAAATCAACCTACTTTCCTAGTCAGAATAGAAGAGTCTGATTGCCCAGAGCTGGGGGAGTATTACTGCATTATTCTTGCATGAAGGAGAGGAAAACCAGTGAAGTGTCTGTAAAAGGACAGTGCCAACAAGTGTGAATAAACATCCTTTCAATGAATGGCTTACAGACCAGGGATGTTGGACCCAACTTATAGATTAAACTGCTAGCAAAGTTTTCCCTGTAATATGCTTCACCTAAAAACTATTCTTGCTAATCTTGTTTATTTTCAGGATGTAATGCAAATGGAGTTCAAAAAATTTTGGAAAAAAGTGGAAAATTTTAGCTGGTCTTGGAAGGATTTAAAAAAAAAAACCAGAAGCTTAAATGTTTCATGTAAATTTACCTAGTAGAACATACTTTTTATTACTGCTTTTAGTTATCACATTGTATTTAGAAAATACTTTAAACCAACTCTGTAATTTGATGCTGAGAGCCACGGCTGAGTCTGTATGGCCCCTGGCATTTTGCCAACAGTATTGATTGACAGGCGCCTCTGCCTGTCCGCCTCTGCCGCAACTTTTGAGTTCTCGCACTATTTTGGAGTTCTTGTGGGGATTGTTCTCGTGGGGATTCCTGGAGAGTTCCCATTGGTTGGGGAAGTGCAGGAGGAGGGATTTCCGGGAATCCCCACGAGAACTCCAAAATAGTGCGAGAACTCAAAAGTTGCGGCAGAGGCGGACAGGCAGAGGCGCCTGTCAATCAATACTGTTGGCAAAATGCCAGGGGCCATACAGACTCAGCCGTGGCTCTCAGCAATTTAATAATTAGTCTTTTTGTACATAATAGAACCCATTGTGTATGACTTGCTTACCCACTTTGCAAGGCTTTGGTAATTTTTAACTCATCCATATAAAGATGATGTTGTCTGTATAAGTCAGTGATGCTTCCAAACTGGTGGATTAGCTTTGACAGCTAAAGTCTGGTCTACAAGAATACTGTAACTTGATATGTATTTTTGTTGAAATTCTTTTTGTAAAAGAAAAAATTATTTACAATGTTATTTGAATGATTTATTGTAAATGCTGTGAATCTATATTTGTTGTTTTGTATCTGTATATTAAAATTAATTTCCCAAACTGGTCTTAGTAATTCATTTGAGTAGTAAAATAAGATGATGCTCTGTTTAAAAAGAAGAAAGAGGCCATGAATGCCAGGAGTCTGAGATGGGAAGACCCTTTTCTGTCCTCATTTCTTCTAGCAACAACTCATTAATCAACCAGATCAAACCTCTGGGGAGGTGTAAGAGAAAGAAGGCTCTGAGGGGAACCACGAGGGGCCACTTGACTGAAAAAGCCACAAACTAATGGAATCAGACTGATGTAAGCAGAATTTGGAAATAGGAAGTCCTAGTTTGCTTTTGCTTTTTGGTTTTGGGAGCTGCACCCAAGGCCTCCCGCATGCTCTTCGCAAGCTGCGCTCCCAGCCTGGAAGTCCTGGTTTGTTGTAGCAGCTTTTTCAAGGGATGGAGTATGGGTGGCCCAAATGTTCCCCCTTGCAACAGCTACAAGGCAAGATCCCTCCACTAGGAGGTGTCCTGGGGTCCCAGGATAACCCTTTGAATGAGGGGTGGATATGAATTTCCTTATCTAATTAACAGCTCAGAAAAACCAAGTAAATAGCCCATTGTTTGCTGTGACTAATCAGAAAAGGGTTCCTAAGAAAGCTGCCAAGTGCTTCTTGCTGGTTGTTTACTCCTAGGTCCACCTACTTCAGAGTGAGCTGCTGGCCCCTCCTTGGGTTGGGCTGAGGGAAGGCTGTGGGTGGGTGGGAAGCAGGGTGGTCTACAATGGTACCATACATAGGAATGGAAATAATTGAAGGACAGTGGCATGAATTCACATGTATTAGCTGCCTGCTCTATGCACTGGGGAGCTGAAATGTGTGAATCTTCCGAAGGAGCTTGTGGGGTCAAAGGGGAGCACAAATAGGTGTGACAAAACAGCGGGAACTAAGCAACACCAGAGCTGCATAGCTGTTACTCAGCCATGAGAGTGGAGTCCTCTTCCAAGGTGAGTATCTTGCGAGGGGCATCACACACTGGTGGGGGAAAGGGTGTGAGCTCCCCTGGGTTAACCATGTCAGACAGGAGCAGAAATGGAGCTGAGACCATGGTCTCAGTGTGACCAGAATGGTAAGCTGAAGTTGGATGGCCAAGGCCCTGTGGCCCATGGTGGCACTTGTGATTTCCTAATGTGACCACACAGTTTAAGGAAGGTTGCAGCAAAGATGTCCTATTTAGGAGCTGGCTGGGTTGCAGTGAAAAAGGGCAGATGTTAAACCAGAGGCAGAGGGATTTCATGGGAGACAGTTGCTCAGGTATAAGAACAAGGCAGGAGAGCAGGAGGTGGATGTGCAGGCTACTTGGTGGCCCTGGCGGATCTCATAGGAAAGATGGAAGGACTCTGGTCAAGCCTGATGTGATGAGTGAGTGGGAGTGCCATATACGGAGACTGAGGAGTGGCTTGGTAGTGGGACCGGGAGACTCGTCCTTGCATTGCTGACCATCTGGCTTATCCAGTCAGCAAAAGTAGCATGGATCTCAGGAGAGAGGTCAGGCTGGAAATAGGTTGGGGAATGGAGGAATCAGAGCAGGGTGGGCCACACACAGCCCTGAAGTCTTGTGTGGCCAGAGGATCCCTCTGGCAGCTAGACATTGCTGTTTGGAGCCCACCACATGAAGGGACATCAAGTATCTGGGTGTAGCGGTTAAGAGATGAGTGTAAGCCGTGGGGTGGCCAAGAAGCCAAGTCCAGGTAATGTATACCTGCAAATCCAGTTCCATCCCCTGGGACCTTATATTGGTTTGCTGTACTGATGATGAATGGAATCATTTGGAGAGGAGGGTTGGGATGTTGCAAGCCCCTATAAAGTGAGGCTTGTCCTCACTGGCATACGTCCCCCAATGTGGCCTCTGCATTCAAGCCTCCTGCACCTCCCAGAAACAGACTTGGGGAATTTTGTCCTCCTGAAACTGTTTTAGATAAATGTTAATGAGCAGACTTAGAAAAAATGAAGAGTCAAACGGCAAGACATTGAAGAAACGGCCACACCATGTTTTTCTCAGCTGCAGGTAGAGAGAAGCGTGTATGAAGGCAATGAACTCTGAATCCTTAGCTACCCAAAGACCTAACAGCAAAAGGAATTACAAAGAAATTTGACCATAGTAGTCCTGGTTCAGGATCCAGCTGAGACCTGGTCACTGTTACAGTCTTAATTCTTGTCCTGTTGATTCACAATGGACCTTAGGTCCACTGAGAAGTTGCTTAGGAAAAGCCTGAACATCATTTTAAGGAAAGAAACCTGCCATGGAGATTCCTTCCTTCGGATTCCATGTGGAGGAATACCTTGTTTTATTAAAATGGTGGGAGGAGGGAGTTTTCTACACTAGCGAGTGCTAGTAGCTAAAGCTACCTAACTCAAGCCTTGCCGTGAATTTTGAAGCTCTTCCAAGATATCTTGTGCCTTCCTCCATCCCCTCCCCTTCCTGCTATTTTGCAGTTATGTCCACTAGGGAATTGTATGGCAGGAAGATGTGATTTTCTTTAGTTTGCCCTGGATTCCTGATTTGCACAGCACCTGGGTCCAGCCCGCAGCCCTAGGGTTCAGGTAAGCCCATGGGGAGGGGATTTCTTCACCTTCAGGTTAAGTCTTCTGGTCCTAAAACAGCTGTTGTAATGTCAGTGAGAGTTAATCTGGCCTCATTTGCAAAATAGATGTCTTACAGAGTTTCGGATAGTAGGAAGGGGAATGGGATGTTTCAAAATTCATTCTTAAGAGGGTAAATAAGGGCTGGGGCTATAACTCAGTGGCAGAGCACTTGCCTAGCATGTATGAGGTACTGGGTTCAATCCTTAGCACCACATAAAAATAAATAAAGCCATTATGTCCACCTACAACTACCAAAAAAAAATTTTTTAAGAGAGTAAATAGAAGAGAAAAGCAGATCTTGAAAAAATTTTAGAACTCTGCAAACCAGCTGAGAGAAAAGAGAAAAACCATATAATAATGTTCATAAAAATAACTGACCTTTCAGGAGAGCTTTCTAGAGAAGCTTGCAGGCTAATTAACACAAATATTAATGTGTACATTTTTTATATTTATGGCTATGCTAGTGTAGTAAATATTCTCAATATATGTTGAAGAGAAAATATAAGATGTACAATGCACAGAACACATGGAAGAAAATATAGTCAATAGAGGCAACTGAGATATTTAGATTCTTGGGCTGCCAAATGTGGGAGGGATGTCGGGGTGTTAGTTCATCTCTCACATTTTATGCACAAGGAGGCTGAGATTCTGGAAGCAGGGGCTTGGAAACCCAGTAAAAATCACTCAGCTGGTTTCTGGCAGATGTGTATTAAGTCAGCCTTTGGGGAGAATAGGATTTTTCTTTTTAAAGTGTAAAAGAGTAGTATTTATTCAAGTGAGAAGAAAAGAGACAGAGCTCCCAAAAGGCAAGTGGGGGCCCAAAAGAGGCTTCCCAGAAAGTAAGAATCTTGAAGAGTGAAAACCCTTAACCTTGGCTGTGAATTAGAGAAAATTAATCAGGAGGGCCACTGGATAACCCTGTGTCAAGAGACTCAATAGTGAGAGAGAAATATAGGTAATAGGAGAAGACTCAAAAGTAAGACATTAAGTCAGAACCTACTTTATTTGGGACTAAAAACAAGTAATCCCAAGTCACTTGCAGTCTGTGTCCCTTTACCCCTTCCATGTCAGAATACCAGGTCCAGATCACAGCATTCAGCAGGTGGCTGCACTATGGCTTGATGCTTTCAGATTGCTCAGCTTCATCTCAGGCAGTGGCTGTGCCTGAGGGTCTGTGTGCCATGTGTCCTCAGCCACTCTGAGCCTTGGGCTGACTGCGGGTGTACACAAGCCCTCCTCACTTCTGATGAGAGGCCAGACCTTGGGCAAGAGACACTTTGCCTTAGTCAGCATGTGGGCTTAGTTGTCAAAGATGGGTTATAAGTGCAAGACTCATGCATGGAATCTATGATTCTTCCTATGCCTAAACTGTTGCCCTCCTTGAGGAGTCCACCATGGCCCACCACCCTGTGTGCACCCATCACAGGAAATGGGAAAGAACCCAGGGAATGACATACCCCTTCCCCTTTCTGTAGTCCACAATTGCACACATCATTTTGCCGTCCCATTGGCCAGAATCTGGTTTCATGGTCAAATCCAGGCTGCAAGGGAGGCTGGGAAGTGCAGTCTATTGGGGGCAGCCAGGAGCCCAGCTGAAATTGCTATTGCCTGGAAGAAAGTGAGAGGGATGTTGGAGATAGCCAGTGACCACCACCCAAAGACTGACAGAGCTCAGATTTAACACCCAGACCCCTCCTTAAGGGTTGAAGGGTTGTGGAGACACAGTTGGAACTAAGATAATATTTAATTCATTCACTAATTCTACAAATATTTGATGGTGGGGTATCAAAAATAATGAAGTGAAAAGATGGAGTCACTACCTTCAAAAAGTATTAAACTTGATTGGTGGTTACTAATTGGTAACCACCTAGGAGAGCACGTGAGGTGCAGGGGTGCAGCAAGAGAAGAGAGAGAGTGTGAAGCTGCTCACAGGGAAAGATGGGAGACTTAGAAGGGGTCCTACCCCCAGTGCCTTCTGGAGAAAGACCAGACAGGAGTTCAAAGCTGAGGGTGATCACTGAGGTTGAACTAATGAAGCTGAGCATTCAACCCATAGTTTTGTGAGAGGCACAGATGCCATTCTTTTTTTCAAAATAACATTAATAAAATTTCTGCTAATAGACTTTTTTGTGTGCAAACCCTCAATGTTCTACATCAAAGCGCAAGCCCTCATCTAAATTTTATTATACTACCACAACTTTTTTCATTGGTTATTTGGGAGCAAAGTGTGTTCAATTAAAAATATCCATTGAAGATTGTCTGTGTGCTAAGCACAGAGCATAAGCAAGTTAGATATTTTCTGCCTTAGTCAGCATGTGGGCTTGGTTGTCATCAACTATGCAAAACTCAGAAGAATTATAGAAGGACAAATATTTACTTTTACGTTAATTTTCTAGCTGGTAAACAAAATGGAGTTTTTCTCACTTGACACCTTCATGATCTTGTGATCTTTTCTGCACTGGAGTGATAGAACATACCAGAACCTATGGAACACTGTGAAGGCAATTCTAACAGGGAAGTTTATAACCATGAGTGGAATAACTTGTAATGCACAAACTCCCAACAAAGCCTGGTTACTGGAATTAAGATTTGACTACTATCATCAGTCACTTCTGAGTTACACAAAAGATGCAGGTGCAGGTTATTCATGGATTCGGCTGTAAGGAAACACAAGTCAGTTTCCAGAAATGCTGTAAGTTTGTGACTTCAAAGGGAAACATCTGTATTTCCTTTTCCAAAAAATACTCTTAGCCTTAGGCTGGGCCCCGTGATCCTTAGAGACTTACACAAGAGGGCGGTATAGTCTTTTGTTTGGCAGAAACTAATTATTTTGAATGACTGAATCTAAGCATCTTTATTTAAAAAATACTTACCTAGAAATATATGTGTAGTGCTATAAAAAGTTTTTAAACAGGAAAACATCCCATAACTCCACCATTTCTAGAAAAAATGTTTACCTTTAGTTTAAATAAAAATATCTACCTTTAGTTTACCAATATGCATTTATTGGTTTATACCATTCTATTTCCTACATCACCTTCTGTTTCTACATGTTATTTAGTGTGCACCTTTTAACCATTGTAGATAAGGCTTTGGTCATCTCTGTGTTTGGCACACAAATCTTGGATCATGATGAAGAATTTTAGAGATGGGTCACAGATAGGGGTGTCTTTTGCTTTTTACCTTTCCAAAAGGTTGGGCAGATCTACATTGCTGTCAGCAGCACATGAAGATCTGAGTTATGACCAGCTGCACTAACCTATGTGTTCATTTTGCTAAAAAGTCCTAAAATACCTACCATGATAATATTTGTTTCATTTGATAAGTATTTGTTTCAAGTTTAATACTGGGTACTGAAAATATAACAATGTGGGAAATCCTGTCAGGTGGGGAGCCAGAATTTTAATCCTACAGTTATGTCATCAAATGTAAAACCCCTACCATGATAGGTACCATGGAAGAGAGGCACATGAAACTATATGCACTTTCCTGTGGAGGATGGATTTTGTCAGGAGGTCCCATGAATTTGAGTATCCATCCACATTACTGCAGGCGCTTCTATAATCAGTTCCCTTTGTTGGGAACACTCTTCCTAGTTATTTCTTCCTCCCTTGTTTACAATTCAGCCCCTTGAGGTTTCTTTGTCTTTGCTCCTGATGAGGTTCAAAAGCAAATCAAAGATCTGGGGCGGAGGGGGGGGGACACCATTTATACAGAAAAGGACTTGAAAATGCACTTCTCCCAAATTGTGTGACCTTGTGTGTGTGTGTGTGTGTGTGTGTGTGTGTGTGTGTGCGTGCATGCGCACATACGCACATATGCGTGTGAGCAGATCCTTCATGGATCTACATTCAAAGAATATATTTAATCACAGTAGGACTACTTGGAATGCTTTACTTTTTTCCTTTTTCTTTTTTTCTTTGAGACAGGATCTCACTAAAGTGCTTAGTGAAAAACCTCACTAAATTGCTAAGGTTGGCCTCAAACTGGGATCCTCTTGCCTCAGGCTCCTCAGTTGTTGGGATTATAGGCATGATCCATTGTGTCCACCTAATTTTTTAATTTAGTATGTTATTGTGGTAAAATATATGTCAACATAAAATTTATCACTTTAATCATTTTAAGTGTACGATTTAGTGGTATTAAACCATGTGGCATTATCATACAACCATCACCTCATCCATCTCTAGAACTTTTTCATCTTTTCAAAGTGAAACTCTGTACCCATTAGATACAAGTTCCTGATTCCCCCTAATTTCCCCAATCCCTGGAAACCCCTGCCCTACTTTCTCTACGTGCTTTACTATTTTAGATGCCTCCTAGGAGTGGCTCATACAGAAATTTGTTTGACTAGCTTGTTTTTGCATAGCATAATATTCTCAAGATTCATCCATGTTGTAGCATGGGTCAGAATTCCCTTCCTATTTAAGACTGAACATTATTTCATTGCCAGCACATACCACCTTTTGTATGTCCATCTACCCACTGATGGGCATGATGGGTTTTCCCACTTTTTGGCTATTACAAACAATGGTATTCTAAACATGAGTTCTCAGTTCAAATCTCTGTTTTCAATTTATTCAGAAATATTCCCAGAAGTGAAATTGCTGGATCAGATAGATGGTAATTCTATGATTGCTTTATTGTTTATAATGTGCTTTTTTCATGTACATTATGATCAAATTTGGTCTTTTCATCAGCCCTGTGAGTATGCATTCTTCTCTGGCTCCAGGAAGTGGTTTTATAGATTGGATACAAAATGTCCCTCAGAGGTCATGTGTTGAAGGTTTGGTCCCCAATGCAGTGATGGTCAGAGGTGAGGCTTTCGGGAAGTGAACTGGATCACGAGGACTTTGATTTCATCAGTGGATAAATCCCCTGGTGTACTCGTAGCTGATGGCATTGTTAGGAGATAGTAGAAACTTCAGGAGGTGGGGCCTAATTGGAGGAGTAGGTCATGGAGGTGGGGTGGGGGAGTGGTGGGGGGGGAGTGGTGGGGGCATGCCCTGGAAGGGTATTTCTTATCCATGGCCCCTTTCTCTCTCTCTCCTTCCCCTTTCTCTCTCTCTCCTTCCTGGTTACCTTGAGGTGAGCATGGCCTTCTGCCATGTTTCTGCCTTGCCACAGCAGTGAAGTCAGGTTACCTTAGACTAAGGACTCTGAAACCATGAGTCAAACAAACCTTTCTTCGTTAAGTTGGTTTTCTCAGGTATTTTGTCACAGTGACAAAATTGGAAAGATAAATAAAAGAGTATCCTGATCTCAAACTTGGCTTCCTCATTTATCATCACCATTAAGAATGATCCTAATTACTTGTGTTACCTCCTAAAGACAATGTTTTCCTGATTGCAACCACTGTGGTCAGCTCCCAGGTTTCTACTCTCATCTGCCCTGACCATACTGTCCCTCGTCTGAGTAAGGATGGGCCCATTTCCCACTGCAAAGGAGCAGAGTCTGTGTTCATAGCACCAGTGACAAAGGTTTCTCCTTTCTCTTTCTGTCTTCTAGCTCAGACTCTGTCATCTGGACCATGAGGATCTGGTGGTTCCTGCTTGCCATGGGAGTCTATACAAGGAGCATAAACTCACAGGACACGTGCAGGCAAGGGCACCCTGGCATCCCAGGGAATCCTGGTCACAATGGCCTGCCTGGGAGAGATGGAAGAGATGGAGCAAAGGGTGAAAAGGGGAATGCAGGTACTCACCACTTGGTGGCTTTCTGCTGCCCTCCATTGATGCCATCAACCCCTTATCACATCTGTTTATTCTCTGTGTGGTTTCCCAGTCACCCACTGAACCCTCATCATTCACATGTCAAACACTTATCAAGAGTCCTCTCCTATCAGATTCTGTGCTGGGTGCTGGAATGGAGTGAGGACTGGACTGACATGACCCTGCCCTCATGGGCTTCTCCTCCATTGGGGATACTGTTTGTTAGCCATTGTCTCTGATATTATAGGACATATTCAGTAGTATACAATGTCATCAATTTTCCTGCCTTAGCAACGGTTATGACACATCTTCAGTAACATGAGGCCAATAGAGAGAGCTGATGGCTAAATACAACAGTCCCATATTATTCAAGGAAGATTATGTTCCAAGACCTCCAACAGGTTTTAGCCAATGAGTGGCTAAAACCATAGCTAGTACAGAATATTATATATACTATGTTTTTTCTATGCAGATATACCTATGAAAAAGTTTGATTTATAAGTTAGGCACAGTAAGACATTAATAATAGCTGATGATAAAATATAACATTTGTAACACTATACATAATAAAATTGCCAGCATCACTACTCTTGCCCTTGGAGGACATAAAATAAGGGTTACTTAAATACAAGAACTGTGATCCTGAGACAGTCAATCTAATAACTTAGATGGCCACTAAGTGACTAATAGGCAGGAAGCACACACAGGGTAGAAAAAGGGATGATTCACATTCTGACCAGGATAGAGTGGGATAATGTGAGAATTCATCCTGCTACTCAATATGTCATGCAATTTAAAGCTACACATTGCTTATTTTTATATGGAGGCCTGACGATTTATTAAGTGGGCGGGGTGAGGCTGAAGTTTACCAGGAAGCAACTTTATTCCTTTCCAACAACCACCATGCAAATATACTCTGTGAAGTCTTCTCTTGGATAATATCTCTGGAAAATCCATGCTGTTTTAGTCACATTTAGTCATTAGACCTTTCTGGGTAGCAGAAAGTCCAGTGCAAGTTAATAGGAAAACTTAAGTCTTAATAAACCCAAGTATTTTACCCTCCCAGTGGGACCACAATGGTGTGTTTGTTTTATTTTTTAACATAATGGGGTTTAAATTTTTATTTTAAAATATTTTACATACACAAAAGAGATGGATGATACATAAGAAGGAGTAAGATAAAACATACAACCAATACTAAGTTTCTTTCTTCCCTATTGAATCTCTTGTATTTTTTCTTCAGTTGTATCCATTCTTTCAAGTTTTACATGTTTCTTAGAAGTATATATTTTTTATATATTTTCCATATATATATATATATTGTATATAACATTATTTCTTAGAAAAATATTTAATCATATTGCTCACGCTAACAATTCACATACTCTTTATCTTTCCCTTTTAAATTGTATGCTTTATAATGAATGCATGTTTAGCCCATGAGTTATCCACAATTCAGATGTGCATTGATGAGGGTCCACATTCATGCTTTGTTATTTGAGGTTCTGTGATCAAGAAAGTTTAGAGGTCACTGCTCGGGAGATTGCAAGAATTGAGAATTAAGCAGGGAAACAAAAGAGAAAGACTTATGGCTGGGGAGGGAGAGGAGAACAGGAAAGGAATTAATGTAAGGATGACTCCCACTTGGAGATCTCACAGTACCCAGGGCTTGCTTGGGAACATTGGCTCTGAGTTGCTTGGAGTCCCCCAGTCACCACAATTATGAACATCAGTGTCTCCAGCCACATATTTCTTTCTCATCCTTCTTTGCTGCTCATGTATGGCACATCTTACAAGTGGGTGCTTGGGAAGTGACCTGATCCATTATATAACTCACTCATCTAACACAGATAAGAGGCCCAGATGCTCACTCATGCCTGCCTCTCTCCACCCCAGGAGGGAGTGCCCATTGGGGGTAGACACCACCAGCACTCTCCTCCGTACACCACCCATGGAGGCCAGTGGTCAGAAAAATACAGATTTGGAATTTCAACTCTTCTGTTTTCTTCTTTTCCACCTAGGAGAACCAGGACATCCCGGTGGCCCAGGGAAGGATGGAATGAGCGGGGAGAAAGGAGAACGAGGTCAGAAGCTGGCTTCCTATTTAACCATGCTCTAATGTGGAACTAACACGATTTCACCATAGCTATTATGTGCTTGCTACTATGGATGAGTCCTTATATGGCTCTGAGGATGTCCCAACAACAGAGGCCATTCAGTTCTTGCTCTCCAGAAGCCCACGACGAGCACAGGGATCCACAAGCTTTTTGTGTAAAAGGCCAGATAATAAATATTTTCAGCTCTGCATCGTGTCTACTAAACTGTGCCATTGTCTTGAAAAGCAGCCATAGACGCTACATAAATAAGTGTGGCTGTGTTTCAGTGAAGCTGTGTGTATAAAGACTGAAATTTGAGCCTCATAATTTTCACATATCACAGAATATTATATTTGACAATTTAAACCTGTAAACCATTCTTAGCTTGTGGGCTGTTACAAAAACATAAGGACAGATTTGGCCAATGGGAGACAGTCTGATGAACCCTGACTTACTGAATAAGCACAAAGGAAGAAGAATTTGGACTCAGTGCATCTGGCCCCACTGTATGGAGAGGGTCTGGCCCTGGAATTGGGATGAATGCTAGCAGTTGGCAACCGATGGAGAGAAAGATGGTTCTCTGTATCTTGTTCTAAGTGTTTGTCATGTATTGACTCAGTGGCTTCAAGAGCCCTGTGAACTTGGAAGTATTACTGTCCTGATTTCATAGATGAGAACAGAGGTGTAGAAGGTTTATTCATTGGCCTGACATCCCATGAGCACAAGGGATGGAGATAGGATGGAGTCCTGGCATTGACCTCCAGAATCCATGCTTGCATCCACTATGTTCCATTTGGGGTGGAAGCAACTCAGAAGCACCAAGCATCTATAGAATAAAGAAAACCATAATACAACTGGTAGAATGAGCAGGCTGGGGCTGGATATTAGAGATGGATGAATGCCATACTCGAGACTTTACTTTGTGTCACAAGAAATTTCTTAGGGGACATCACTTCACTAGGTCTGAGCAACTGTTAACTAAGTATCCTGAATCAATCTGCTGTTTGCAGTGCTGCCCTGCTCTGAAGAGTGTTTCTCTTAATGTTTGGCCTTTTTTCATGGTCAACATGGTGGACTTAGATGGTAAAGGGTTATCATTTCTCATTTAGGAGACAGGAGTCAAAAGGTGTTTTGTGTATGAGAGTGTACATGCATGTATGTGTGCACACATGCCTGTAATTTGGGAGTTAATTAATTTCTAAACCCTGAGCGGATATTGAACCTCAGCACTACTCCATCTCAATTAAATGCTCAATAACAGAAAAGCCAAAGTTGTTCACAAGGGAATATTTAACAAACCATTTCTTTTTTCTCTTCCTCTATTCAGGAGCAGATGGAAAAGTTGAAGCAAAAGGCATCAAAGGTGATCAAGGCTCCAGAGGATCCCCGGGGAAGCATGGGCCAAAGGGATCTGTTGGACCCATGGGAGAGAAAGGGCTCCAAGGAGAGACTGGCCCTAAGGGGCAGAAGGGGGATAAAGGTGATGTGGGTCCCACTGGTCCAGAAGGTCTAACAGGCAATGATGGACCTTTGGGTCCCACTGGCTTACCTGGCCCTGTAGGTCCCATTGGCAAGCCGGGTCCCAGGGGAGAAGCTGGACCTATGGGACCCCAGGGTGAGCCAGGAGTTCGGGGAGTAAGAGGCTGGAAAGGGGATCGAGGAGAAAAAGGAAAAATGGGTGAGACTCCAGTCTTGCCAAAGAGTGCTTTCACTGTGGGTCTCACAGTGTTGAGCAAGTTTCCTCCTTCAGATGTACCCATTAAATTCGACAAAATCTTATATAACGAATTCAACCATTATAATGTGGCTACGGGGAAATTCACTTGCCACGTTGCTGGGGTCTATTACTTCACCTACCACATCACTGTTTTCTCCCGGAATGTGCAGGTATCTTTGGTCAAAAATGGGGTAAAAATACTGAATACCAAGGATGGTTATTTGAGTTCTGAGGACCAGGCCTCCAGTGGTATGGTCCTGGAGCTGAAGCTTGGAGATGAGGTGTGGATGCAGGTGACAGGAGGAGAGAGGTTCAATGGCTTGTTTGCAGATGAGGATGATGACACAACGTTCACAGGCTTCCTTCTCTTCAGCAGCTCATGACACAGAAGACTGTACATCTGCATTGGTCAGAATTAGCTTTTATAATTCCTTCAATTATTGTAATAATCTTTAATCACTTGTAAAAATGGTTCTGTGTCACTTACAATATTCCAAAGAGTAAATTTTTAAATAGTTGCCCTGTTTTTTTGTTGTTTTTTTTTGCAGTACTAGGGATCGAACTCAAGGCCTTGTGGATACAAAGCAAGCAATTCACTCCTGAGATACATCTCCAGCCCCTGTTTAATATAATTTATTTAATGTTTTTCATCATTCCCATGATTGGGGGAACCCCTCGCATGTTTCTGATAGGAAGAGTACTGCTACCACTCAGAGTTCTAAGGAGATGTATTATGATTTAGTGCTCATCTATGCTTCTGAGGACATCAGTGAGAAAGAAAAGTAAGCTCTGTGGTATGTCACTTGCCTGGCGTGTGTGAGGCCCTTGGTTCCATCCCCAGTATAACACACAAAAAATGCTTATTCCAGTTAGTGCTGATAAGAGCTTTAGGCTGATGACAATGAAATCCCAGAAGGCTGCAGATACTTTGCTTACTTTCTAATTTAGGTTTTCAATGCTACTCAATCCAACTGTAATGTCCAGAGCCCAGGAGAGCTAAGGCAGTGGAATAGCTTATGGAGAGGCCAAGGAAGTCATCAGAGATGGGATATAAGGCAGAAGATTTACTCAGAAATGCTTATGGAGGAGATCTGGCGGTGATGGGCTTGACAGATGCTTTGCCAGAAAGACCAGAGGCAACAGGCTGGACAGGTGCACCTCTATTTTACATGGGGCTTCCTCTACTTTGCCAGAAAAATAGCACCTCCTATCTCTCACAAGACTTTGTCCAGGGACATCCTCTGGGACAAGCACTGCCCTCTCACAGTACTGTGATCTTCACTGGTGACCACAGGGGGAGGGATTTTTATAAGTTAGGCTACCGAAGCAGTGACATTATTAATTGGCTTAGTTTGCACTATTCCTTGTATTCCCAGCATCCCAAGGAGCAGCTGTCTTGGTGTGCAACAAAGCAGCTTTCTACAGATAACTCTAACTTTCCCTAATTCCCCTCATACATAAAAGAAAGCCAGTGGACACTGGAAATGTTTACCTGGACATTCTGGCCAGAACTTGCTCTTATTGTTCCCTTGACTAGGCTTTTTGGGAATGGAAAGGGAAATATAGGGACATGATGTCCTCTTTTTCCTCTAAGGATAACACACCAATAAATAATTGTCCTGACTCTGTATTCATTTTCTAGGACTGCTACAACCAAGAACCACAAATTGGTGGTAAAAAAAAACAAACAGAAATATATGCTTTCATAGTTCTGGAGGCCATATGTTCAAGGCCATATGTCAGCAGACCAGGCTCCTTCTGAATATTTGAGAGAAGGTCCTTCTTTGGTGTGACCAGCTTCTGGTAGCCCATGGCAGCATTTGGCTTGTGGCAGCATCACTCCAATCTCTATCCCCACTTCATATGGTTGTCTTCTTTCTGTATGTGCATGTGTCCAAAATTCCCTCTTCTTACAGATTTCCTTAGGGTCTGCTTTAACCCAGTATGACCCATCTTAACCCGTTTATATCTGCAAAGACCCTATTTCCATATAAGGTCACATTTGCCACTATCATGGATTGGGATTTCAACATATCATTTTTGTGAGATACAATTCAATTCATTAACAGTATGCTCTCTGCCTCCCCCCGCCAAATTAGGTGCCCTTCCCATATACAGAAAATATCCCCCCATCCTAATATCCCCCAAAGTTTCAACAATTTCACCATCAACTGTTAAGTCCAAAATCTCACCATCAAATCATTTAAATCACTTATAGGAGAGGGGTAGTCTGTGATTTATCCTGGGGAAAAATATTCCTCCATCAGTAAAACCTATGAAATCAGACCAGTTATCTTCTTTCCCAATATAATGATGGTCTAGGTATAGAATAGATATTCTCATTTCAAAAGGTAAAAAGAGGAAGGAGAAAGAGCTTGCAGGTTCCAAGGTAGTCCAAAACCGTAGACAAATTCCATTAGGCCTTTTCACTATTCAACTTCTAAAGATATTTTTTTCAGTACTGCGGATTGAACCTAACCAGGACCTTGCACTCTAACACTGAGCTATCTCCCCATCCCTAGTTTCAAAGGTTTCTTAATGATTTATGCAAGAGAAAAAAAAAGTTACTGGTTGTGGACACCAGTTACAGGGGTAGAGGAACAGGAGAGGGGTAAGTTTATTAAGAGAGTAGGTTAAAGGGAAACTTGTCCCTCAGACCTGTAGTGGACACTTGTTTAGACAAGTCCCTTCTATTTCCCCATCTTCCAGTAAAGGCACCCTACTGTCCGTATCCTAATGTGGAAAAGTCTTTCAGATGGTGTAAACTCTACACTGCTGGTTGGACATGGGATACAGGACTGGTTAAACAGAATAGCACCTCCTGACCATGGTAACAGTTGCAAGATGGCACTTGATCTGATCAGAACCAATGACGTTTCAATCTGCAACTTAGCTGGGCTTGCTAACCACAGACGTGCTCTTCTTTAGTTGAAATTAGATGGGGGAGGTTGAAGGCTTGAAACTCCTGGCAGCTTCTTACTAATCTGTAGAGCCTAAGAATGAAGCCAAACAGCTAGACATAATCTAGTTGCTGTGGTTTAAATGGGTTGCTCAAATTTTTTGTGTTGGAAACTTTAACTCCATATTCATATGTTGATGGTATTTAGAGGAGGGGCCTTTGAGAGTTGATTGGAATTATTATGAGGTCATGAGGGTGGGGTCCCTATGATGGTATTAGTTGCTTTCTAAGAAGAGGAAGAGAGACCTGAACTGGCACTCTTGCTCTTCCTTGCCATGTGATGCTCTCCACCATGTTATGGTACAGCAAAAAGGCTCTCCCAAGATGCTGGTGCCATGCTCCATGGATGTTCCAGTCTTTGGAACTGTAAGACATAAACCTCTTTATTTATAAATGACTGGTCTCAGGTAGTCACTTATAAGCAACAGAATATGTAGTAAGAGATCAGTTCTAATGGCATTGTTTGGGCCTCTAAATCCAGTTGTGCCTAAAGGCAGAGCCATCCTTGGGCTATTTTGTTGGGTGAGCCAACAAATTTTCTTTGCTTAAACCAATTTCATGCAGGTGTTGTCATTTCTATCACTTTCCTCTAAAAAAATTTTAAGTGGTCCCTATTCCAAGGATAGGGGAAGCATGATTATAGTGGGAAAAGCCCGAGACTGAGAGTTAATATATATGAATTGCTGATTCAGCCAGGATAAGGGATTTGAATTAGATGAGCTATTTAGCTTTTCTGTGCCCCTGATTTTTATTGAGCAATGAAAGCCAAACTGAAAAAAATTCACAGGGTCCCAATTAATTCTGCAATTAATTACATATACTTAAGTCAACTTGATATACTTTTCTATACTGAGAATTTAAACTGTATGTAATTATAAATTTTGCCTAAGCAAAAAAAGACTATTGGCAACCTTTGAGTTTGAAAGAATAATTCTTGGCATGAGTTTTTTTAGTCCTTTACATGATCTTACTATAAGCACTGCTCCTCAGACCAAAAATATGACTTTTTGGATGATGTTTCACCAGGGTTTCCAGGTGGTGACAGTTAATTATGCACATAACATTAACAATTAATGTGTTGATTGTAACTTGTGTGTGGTTCTAGGGTAGCTTCTAATCTCTGGGGTAAATACTTAAGCTTGGTCTTTTGCTTTTCCGTCATGAGAAGAGCAGTGTTGCTCCACCAAGTACTCCCACCATGACATCCTGTCTTACCACAGCATAAAAACTATGGGTCTGCCTAGTCAAGGACTGGAACCTCAAAAACTATGAGCCAAAATAAAATTTTCTCCTTGTGTTAAAACAAAAGGACTCAAGTTTAGTGCATTGTTTAAGCTATGGAATTTTCTACACCACAACATGGGACATGCCATTTGACAGAATGTGCCATTTGAAATTGGGATTGTCCTAGAAACCACAGGATTTACAGGTGTTCTATCTGTATTCAACCATCAACACAGTATAGGTGGTATGTTTGTTCCCTAGGGATGTGGGATTTTTCTGAATTATCACTATAAGCAAGCTGCACTGCTGTAGATAAAATATTTTAAAATTACAGTTGGCCTTACATATCTGTGGGTGCTACAACCCCAGATAAAACAAACCACAGATCAAAAATATTTGGAAAAACAATTTAGTCTGCAGTAAACATGTACAGTTTTTTTGGTTATGATTCCTTAGACAATACAGTATAACTATTTTCATAACATATACATTGTATTAGGTATCTTTAGTAATCTAGACATGATTTAAACTCTATAAGGGGATGTATGTAGATTTTATGCATATCCTATGCCATTTTATATAAAGGACTGGAGCATCCTCAGAGTTTGGTATCTGCAGGGGGGTCTTGGAACTGATGTCTCATGGATAACAAGATATGAATGTATTTGGTGACTATGCAAATAATAGAAATAATGTCTTTTATAATTTTTTTTTGTTTTTTCTTTTATTTATATTTCCTGTGGAACAGAAGGAGGATAAGGTAAGGCAAGTGAGGCAGACAGAGTGTGAAATTTAAGTAGGCACTGCTCTCAGTCCTAGTCTAGCATGTGCATGGCCCCTAGAGTGGATGCCTCCTTAAATTCCCACAAGACACCTTTTATTGCAGAATGATTAACTATATAGTCATTTTTTGAGCATGAATGTCCTTATTTTTTGGCAGCTTTGCATTTTTTCAGTTGCAACAATCCAGGCCTTTTTTCCCCAGTACAAATTCTGGTTTTGCTATGGTCCTAACTGTAGGAATACTTGCACCAACTCTCATCTAACTTAGGAACAAAATTTACAGACTGACATATGCATAAAGGAAAAAAAAACCTTTATGACTAGCACATAGGAAAGATGTTCTTATGAAATTCTTTTTTTGTGGGACAAATATAGAAGACATGATGTAAAACATGCTTTAAAGGACTTCAAAAGATAAAGTAGACTTGGGGGAGTCTA